CCCATGGGATCTTAAACCTTTGAAGAATCCTAGCAACATGATTAATTATACTACAATTAGGAAATAGCTTCTGATTAACCTGCTTATGCTTAAACAGTCTCTGCCTCTACACTTATACAACATGATTAACCTGCTTATGCTTAAAAACAGTAGCCATGGGCTCAAAGCCACTGTTTCAAGAAACCTCATCGTGTGATTGCAAGGTTTAAAGATATACATAGAAGGAGACGGTAGAGGAAGTAGATGTAGGGAAGCAAGGAGATCGATTTTAGGGAAATACCTGAAGCGAAAGGCGACCGTGGAAGCAGATGGAGGGAAGGGCGAACGTGGAAGCAGATGGAGGGAACGGGGACCGTGGAAGCAATGGGATTATCGCAGAAGGAGACAATAGGCGACTGTGGGATTATCACTGTAGGGGCGGTGAGTGGAGATGGCGAACGGCGATGGAGGGAAGGCGATCGTGGGATGCAATGTGAAGGAGAGCGGCTAGAAGAGAGGGCAAATTTGGAACAATAGGAATCTGAACCATTTAGTGGAGCCCTGGACACAAAATGGTTAAGAGACTTTTGTAACCATTAAGAGGTTCCTTTTTCTTTTGCCAAATAGTCTCTGCCTCTTACCGATTAAGAGGTTTACTCTTAATGTCATCATTAAGAGCCAAACAAACAGCCCCTTAATTTTTTTTTTATTTGAGGTTTACCACCTATTAAGGTTACATTTCTAAAGAATGATGATCTATTTAACAGATTTTAAGAAATCCAATGACTTATTTAATAGGTTCTGGAATGTCCAATGACTTATTTGTTTCAAAAAATTGTCCAAGAACTTAATCGTTCCAAATACAAAAGTCCATTGAGTTTTTTTGGACTTTTTCCTATAAATTATATAAGATTAAAATGATAAAACCTTAAAAAGTTTTAAAAAAATATGATAAAACTTAGACGAAGTTTTTGACATAATAAATATATGTTAAAAATTTTAAGGTTGTCAAGTCTTACAATAAAATGTCATAAATAAACAATGAAAACCTTCACATTATGAATGCGAGTTGGATTCACTTGAGACCAAGAGTTTTTTGTGAGATCCGTAAGATCAATTTATGTTCATTGATCAATTTATAAGATAATGATCTAATGGTCTAAAGTTGTACGATAACAATTTTGTGATTATTGAGAAGTCTCGTGGCGTTTATGAATGTTCAGATCGTCAGATTGTAGATATAATCCAATGGTTGATAATTGGTCTTACGAATCTCACGAAAAATTCTTGGTCTCACATGATCCCAAATCTTATGAATGCTTTAAATATTTCACGTGGATGTATATATCGTATCATGATAATTACAGTATTTTAAAAACTCGGCCCAAAAAGTATAAATTCTCATATGTAAAATTGGTGTATTTTAGAAGCCCAAAAAGAAACATATAATTAATTCCCCTAGAAAAAAAATGCTATCAAGTACCAAGTACCAACTGTACTTTTAAAGCCCAACTATTTTACATGTTTGGTCCTTCTGGTTTGCAAAATGTTAAATTTGGTCTCTAAATGAAAAACAATTATGGATTTGTAATTTGTTGTATGCATTTTGTTCCCTTGCATTAACCACGTCTATTTTATTTATACTATATTATAAAACATTTGACAAAAATTCTTAAAAACCACTTTTTATGCAGAAAATACTATTTATTAATGTATGTTACTTAAAACTCAAAATTACAAGTCGGTTGTGCGTAAGTACAACTTATTAAAGCTTTATATCTGAATTCGTGTAACTAACTAAAGATAAATATAGTCAAATAGAGAATAAACATCTTATTTTAAATATAAAAAATTTAAAATATAATTAGGATAATCATTGAGTTCTAATAAAATAATTAATTATTATTTTTATAAAAAATTATATTAAAGCAAAAATAAGAAAAATGAATTAAAAAAATTACACAAAAAAGGAGAAATTTTAAATTGTTAGTTTGGTACTAATATCAATATATATATTTCAAAATTTTATGATCACTTCATATTTATATTTTATTTAAAAATAAAAAATTTATCGTTTTCTTAAAATCACATAAAAATATATTATAACATAGACTTAGATAAAAAAAAAACGAAATATTAAAATTGAGATGTAACTCGCTGCATTACGCGAGTACTCTTCTAGTCTTTATTAATCCACTCACATGCCCCTTACATAAGGGGTAATTTTGTCCTTTCCACCTTTTTTTAAGAAATAGATTTGTATTTCTTTTTCTTGTATTCTTAGTAGTTCTTGTTCTTCATGCCACGTTATCCAAACAAATTAAGACACCAATTCTGTTAACTTTCACTAAATCATTTTACAAAACTCATGTATTTTAAACCAAAATCGAAAAAGAGCAAAACCTAAATCAAATTTGAAAAAACCTGTAAATCAAAATAAAAATCCAAAACTTGAAGAAGCAGGTGAGTTTGATGTATATGTAGAAACCAATGCAGTAGCATAAGCGAAACAAATGCAGATAGAGTGATGAACAACAAATACGAATGGGTCCTGATCGAAGAATGAGACATGGATCTGGAAAAGGGAGTTCATCAAAGTTTTAGAAACCCTTCGCTACAACTTTGCATAGAAAAATGAGGTTTTAATAATGCACCTCAAAGGTCCAGTTGGTAAAAGAAAATACTCAACCCTAAATTTATATGAAAAAGATATGACGGTATACAAAGAGATCAAGAGGGAGATTGGGAGTGGTTCGGTTTATACAAACTACATGTTATACCTTTTGCAAGCGAAATCTCAAATATACAAAAGTAGTCACAAGATGCATTTGTAAGAAACAAACCCCAAAATAAGATCGGGGTTTATCATGCTTTCATCAACCTTTGCAATGGGGGAGGAGAGTGGCAGAAGGTAGGGTTCACTGAGCATTATCAATTTTCATGATGCATCTTCAAGCTCGATCAACCGGTTCTTATAAAAAGGTTGGAGAAGAGTAATCTTTTGAGCATAAGGAGAACCCAATCGTTCTTATAAATAGTGTAATAGGAAGGTTAAAATGACAAAAATACCCTTCATGTGTGCGACATGTGAGGCTAGGGGTGCTCAAAAACCCGACCAACCCAACCCAACGCGAAATAACATAACGCGAAGCAACCTGATGTCTAATCGAGTTGGAAATTTGTCAAACCGTATGTATTGAGTTGATATTATTTGAACTCAACCCAACCCGATATCCTTTTATTTTCTTGGATTTAATATTATTGTTGAATTTCTATTAATATTTACATTAGACTATTACACTATCATGTATGCTTTTCATATACACATATTTTCAATCTACTCACATCTCTATATAACTTATTCGTATATATGTTCAGTAACTGTGAACATATATATGTAAAATGAGAAAATTAACTGAATGTGATACGTAAGAAATATTGATAAGTTGTATCAAATGATTGATGATGAAAAAGAAATTATAAGTAGATAAATAACATATTCAATGTTAAAAAAAATATTTTAATGTACCAAAGTATCAACCCGACTAACCTGTACAGCTTGGGTTGGGTTGGGTTAAGATTTTTCAAACCACAAACATTGGATTAGATTGTTCAAATGTCTTCAACCCGATCAACTCAACCCATAAGCACCCTTATGTGATGCTATAATTTTTATACTTTAGGGCTCGATCCATAAACTTTTACAATCCACAGGGACCTAACTTGTAATTTACTCTAAAAAGAATGGTAATGTAGGCATTTGGGATCTCGGTGTAACCTAAAGCCTCAGCCGTCAGACTTTTTCTCTCTCCATCTGCCATATCTCAACCTGCTTTCCTTTCTCTGAAAACCACACCATCTCGAGCCTTCGATTTCACCAGATTCCTTCGATTTCTCTGCAAAATCTAGTCCGGAAGCTGCGTCTGTATAATTACGGCGTCGCCGGTGACAATTACAGGCAAGGATCTACTTTCTCCGATCTTCATGTCCACTTACTTTTTTTAAGTGTTTGTAGCTTTTTAGCAACATACGAGTTTTTGGTATGGAAGATAGGAGAGCTTCCATTGTTTGTTCATAGCTGTTTTCTTTTCACAAACCTAGAAAAAATTATAAGATCTCATGGGTAGATCTGTTGGAATCGGTGGTGTCGGAATTACAATTTCAAATGATCATCTAAGGGTTGTTTGAGATTGCTTATAAAAACAACTTATTGACTTATTTCGGTGTGGCACTCATTTTGGATGTTTGGATAAACAGCCGGTGCCAAACCGTTAATAAGCAAACCTTACTAACTTAAAAACACTTTTGTAGAAAAAGCATACGTTGTTTCAAATAAGCAAATTCCAAACACCCCTAATTCGTTCAATTTGTTTTTTTCAATCCCAGAAATTTGTTGAAACGGTGGCACATAAAAGTATGGGAAAAAATTTCAAAAAGTGGTAACGTTTGACTATAAAAAACAAATATACGGAATTTTTTTTAAACGGTAGTAACGTTTGATTAAGAAATTACTCTAACAGGATCAAACTTGAGTGTGAAGTGGAATAAAAGCTTTGTAAACCAATTCTACCAAAATGAACTTGTTCTCGTTGTAATTTCAAATTAATACGGTTGCACCTTTCACTATCTTAAATATTTTTACCCTTTGACGGAGGAATAATACGATGACACGTGCCACTGAATGCGTCACTGTAGGTCCGTTCCTGTTTCAAATTCACTACTAGGGTTCATGTTGAAACATCATATTATTGCTTTGGGTTATTCGACTGATATTTGAACGGTTTATGAGAATCGAGATTATCACGAAAACATGACATTTTCTTCTTATTTATGAACTTTTATTTCTAAAATATTCTACGGTGGTTCATGAGAATTTGGGGTTTTTATGAACATTTTTGCATATGTATACATGGATTTGTGGCTATGGGTTTAGGGTTTATGGTTTAGGGTTTACGGTGTATCACTAACATAGCTAAACTTTTATTACTTATATATGTGTTGAATATTTTGTGAAGCAGATTTGGGAAGGCTGGAATACAAGATTTTGTTCAAAATCCATCTTTTGGACCTTTGAAATTGCTTGAGATTAGTTTATAGAATAAACCGATGGAGATGAAGTTCTATTTGTGTTAGTCGATCATCACCGACAAGTGCAAGTAAGACGTTTCTTCTTAGATCTTCATATGCACTTATCGTTCAAATGTCTTAAGAGTGGCCTACCGACATGAAAACACATTTTGATACCATGGAAGGGGGAAGTTTTGGTTCGTATACGAGGATATGTTATTGGGGCAATTTATTTTGTGTGTGCAGTTGGAATCGGTGGTCTCGGAAATACAATCTTGTTACAGTTGGTTTTAACAACGACGCTTCATATGGTACAACGATAGAAATTGAATTTCTAACGGAATGTTGAAAGCGCTCAAAACCTATCTCCAACATTTTCTATTTGAATGTTGAAAGTTCTAAAAAATATCAACATTTAGATGATGAGTGGGATAGGGAAAACCAACATGGATTAAGAAATTTTATGTATTTCATATTTTATTATTAAAATTGGAAATGATTCAACTAAATTGCATCATTTCTACCCGATTAAGTTAAAGAAGGACTTTGATAAGAAGTCTAAGATACAGTAATTGGAGTAAGCATCGGGTTACGTCTTGGGAGAATTGTTTTGGAAGCATTGGCAACTTGTTAAGTTGGATGAGCAAACATGTTCATGTTTTGTGGCTTATGTCTTCAACGTCCAATCGAAGAAGGACGCCGTGTAAAGAGAAGGTGAAAACACATGCAAATTTGTTGATTCAAAGTGATCAAGTTTGGTTTTTAACCGATGCATGAATCTCGCTTTTGAAGCTTGTTCCAAATATGCGATGGGTCGTTGAGATTTCCGGAAGATCATTACGGGGTAACGGAAAAAGCTCGAAGTTCTCTGAGTTTTGTTATTGTTGTTATTAACTGATTATTTCTCGTCAATATAAACGACGAGATGTTGAACTTCAACAAATTATTGAGGAAAACGACGAGATACAAACAATTTGGAGACTGGGGAGGAATCGTCAAGAGCCTGAGAGAAATGATTATCTCATTGGAAGTGATGATTCAGTTCATGATGAACCTGTATCTTACCAGTTTTGACTATATACACTTTTGATATAAAAATTCATATTTTTCTTCAAATATCACATGTGATATCCACAATCAATTTATTATCTTTTTGCCTATTTTTTCTCTATTTTTTAGATCTACGTTTAGAATCACAGTTGATTAGTTTTGTTTATTATATAATCTATTACATATCACATATGATCTAGTTTGTAAATTTTGTACATATCATATATGATGATATATGTGCGATTATAAGCTACATATCATCATAAGTGATAATAAACGTCTAAAATATAAGTGAAACGTTATCATATGTGATGCTATTTGCATCATAAGATAAGAAGATCTATAAATGTAAATTATACATAATCTAATATGATTAATATAGTCAAAAACCTTCTAGCCTAGTGGTAAAGGCTTGGGCATGACATAGTCATGAACCCGAGTTCGAGCCATGGGAGGGGAGTGTTGGCGACATTTAAGTGGGACCATGTTTAACATCCAAAATTGCCGGGGATTAGTCGGGCTTTGGCCCGGACACTCTTACAAAAAAAAATGATTAATATAAAAATATGTATTTATCACATATCATTTACACGATCATCGAACAAATTATCATGTGTGATAAAAACTTATAATTAAGTGGTTACAGATTTATCTTTATCATGAAATCGGTTTCCTTGAAGTATTGTTTTTTTAGCAAATCATGTTTATTAATTTTAGTTTGGTTTTAGAATAAGGATTGAACTGTATTCATTGGGAACGATATGTGACAGTTATCGTTGGCTTTGAATGTTGATTTTGTATTTGTTACACCGCAATATCACATTTGCATATAAACATATATTTTCACATATCAAGAAATATGATTTACACAATTGGTCCCACTAATTACAAAAAGCTACATTACGCAGTACCTACCAAATTTATTCACAAAAAACTCTATACAAACTTGTATTTATAACAAGTATTTAAATACAACAGATAACATGTTATCCTCCATATCTCATGTAAGATATATAAAACTCCTCATATTTTCCCTTTCCTCTTCTCTTCTGGCTATGCCCGACCTGCAATGTATATTTTTAAAACATAAAAAATGAGGGTGAAATCTTGAGGTCTAGTGAGAAATCCCTTTGTTGGCTATTACATGGTGAATAATCACTAAATCACGTTTATAAACTCATATTTGTAATAATAACAAATATACAACATTTTGATATAAACAAACCTCTTTTGTCGCATCTAAAAGATGAAACATCACCAATTCATCGCATCATATAGGTAAAAATGTAATTTCTCCGCATCACATGAGTGAGAAAACTCCATCTCCTCGCAACACACTGATATAATAAACCCAACTTGTCGCATCACAATGGTGCGATAAGCTAACTTGTTACATCACAAGGATGCGGCAAACATACTTCTCGCATCACAAAAATGCAATAACCACTTTTCATCGCATCAATATGATGCGATAACTTTAACTCATCGCATCACACAAATGCGACAACTCGAAGTCATGACATCATAAGGATGTGATAACAGATAACAGTTTGATAAAAACCCAGATTTTACATTCCATTGATTATGCCACCTTTATCCTGGTATACATATCTCCTTGATATGCCACCCTTATCCTAATATAAACTTCTTTCTGATATGCCACCTTTATCCTAATATAAAACTTCTTTTTGATATGTCACTCTTATCCCAATATACACATCTCCTTGATATGTCACATTTATCCCATTATACATCTCTTCTTGATTTGTCACCCTTATCCCATTATATATCTCTCTCTCCTTGATATGTCACCCTTATCCCATTATACATCTCTTCTTATATGTCACCCTTATTCCATTATATACTTCTCCTTGATATGTCACCTTATAACCAAATACATATCTTCTTGATATTCACCCTTACTCCAAATACGTGATATAAACATGCCAAAATTTTACCATTATGCTAATTATAGAATCTAAAAACAATTTTATATCATATTCATATAAAGAACCATACTGTTCTAATTCTAATTACCAAATAAAGAAAGTTGTAAAAATAAACCCATCTTATAATCACAAAAATAAAGATATAAAGATGAATAACAACAATTTTCCAAATATAAATCACAATATCAACTTCTTCTAAAATCTCCCTTTTGCTTTTGTTTACTTTGCACAAAAGAGAACGCACCCATAAAAGTTTGCTTCTCGCCAACTTGCCTTTTTAATCGTATGTACCATCCCAATGAGATAATATATTTATCTCATAATATTAATAACAAAATAAAAAGGCGGTGGAAGAATTAAACATATAAACACATTTGCAAATTTAACCCTTCAACTTATCATCATTTTTTAAAAACAACCCCAAACTTTATAACCGAATAACCAATTATCACATATTCGCGTTATTTGGTTAGTAATAAAGTTTCAATCTTTTTATCCGTTTAAGAGTTTAACACAAATTTTCATTGAGAACAAAATTGTTAGCTTCGAATAATTGATTTCGTATTCATGTTATTCCGTTAGTCATAAAGTTTTGATTTTTCTTTGTTTAGCAGTTTAATATAACTCTCATTCCAAATCTATTCGAGTAGTGTCATTTGTAATTAGAAGGTACTCGTGCAATGCATCGAGATAAATCTTCATTTTAATGTTTAGTTTTTATTCTTTGTCTCTATCGATATAATACAATTTTATGTGGTTTTGAGAAAACGATAATTTTTTTATTTTTGAATGAAATATAAATTTGAATATATAAAAAAAAATCAATATTAGGATTAAATTAACTATTTAATAGTTCTTTTTTTTTTTGTGTAAGTTTTTTAATGAAATTTTTTATTATAATTTAATTTAGGTTTAATAATAAAGTAATTTATTTTTGGTTTAATAATATAATTTTTATTAAATATAATAATTAAACATTCTGTTAGAAACTCAATTATTATCTTAATTATATTTTAGATTTTCTATATTTAAAATAGATGTTTATCTTGTATTTGATTATGTTTATCTGTATTTAGTTACACAAATTTGAAAATGAAGTTTAATAAGTTGTACTTACGTACAATTTACTCGTAATCTTGAGTTTAAAATAATATACATTAATAAACAGTACTTTACGCATAAAAAAACCCATCTAAAGTCGATCATTTTTTAATGAATAAAATGCATTTAAAGTACGAGAAGAAACGGATTTATATATGTGGTATGAATTGCTGTCCATTAACTGTCAACATTTAAAGTGGACACAAGTCGTTGTGTTAGATGCTTATGGCATGCAAGCAATAATGTATACCAACTTAAAATCTAACACCATACCCTATATAGAAAAAATTTAAGATAACTAATTGGTTTGAGCTTGACTCTAAATATCAAAAGTAGGGGTGTTAATGGATTGGGTTGATCGGGTTGAAAACATTTGAACAACCCAACCTAATGATTACGGTTTGGAAAAATTTTAATCCAACCCAACCCAAACCAAAATGCAACCCAACCCAACCCGTACAGGTTGGTCAGGTTGATACTTTGGTATATTAAAATATTCTTCTAACCTTGAATATGTTAGTTCTCCACTCACAATTTCTTTTTCATCATCAACTATTTGATAAAACTTATCCATATTTCTTACGTATATCATATTCAATTAATTTTCTCAATTAACGTATATATGTTCTCAAACTGAACATATATATGAATGAGTTATATAAAGATATGAATATATTGAAAATATATTTATATGAAAAACATACATGATAGTGTAATTGTTTAATATATATATTAATAAAAATTCAACAATCATATTAATATAGAAAAAAAAAGATATTGAGTTCATCGGGTTGGGTTGAGTTCAAATAATACCAACCCAATACCAACCCAATACCTACGGTTTGACAATTTTACAACTCGATTAGACATCGGGTTGTTTCAGGTTGTGTTATTTCACGTTGGGTTGTGTTGGGTTGATCGGGTTGGTCGGATTTTTGAGCACCCCTAGTCAAAAGTATCAGGAGGTCCCAAATTCAAATCCAAGGCGGAATAAAAATCCCCTTGTGACTACGGAGATTCAAATGCGGTCCGAGCTATCTGCAAAACAGGTGGTCGTACTGAAATTAATCGGGACATCTAAGTTTTTGCATGTCACAAGTCATCTTTAACGTGCAAGAATCCCTCTCCTTCACAATTACAGTAATATCATATCATCCACACAAATTATCAACAAAACCGTAGATAAAAACAGATTGGCGTGTCATTTGAAAGCTACCTACTGTTTGTTCCTGTAAAGCAACTTAAATACCAACATTTGACAATCCCTTGTGTCGTTTTCTGTGTTGTGATTAATGGTTACAAAAGAAGCCAACTTTCCTTCGATGGTATATTAGCTCGATCGAGCTTCTGTCTGTGCCAAACGATTGCCCAAATGGAAACGTTGCACTCCTCGATGCATACACCTTTCGTGTTTCAGGGTTACGCCAACCATGGTTTCCGTAACCAAACCATCAAGTCTCGACCGACTTCTGTTGTTTCCGTTTTTAGAATCAATGATGAGGTTCACGACATTGAGAGAAGAATAACGACCCGAAAAAGACAGAAGCAAGAAGATGATCATGTCGTTATGGAATCTTGTAGATCTGTTGAAGTTATACGGGATTCAAGAAAACCATCATCGGAGCCGGATTTACTCGAAAAAGTGTTCAGGACACTCGATGATGCTATAATCAAGTTTCTTGATCCTCCTCTTGATATATCGGTTGACCCGAGCTATGTCTTAGGTGATAATTTCGCACCGGTTGATGAGTTGGGTCCAACCGAGTGCGAGGTGGTGCATGGCTCCATCCCTCCATGCCTCGATGGTGTGTACATCCGTAACGGACCCAACCCACAGTTCGTCCCAAGTGGTCCGCACCATTACTTTGATGGGGATGGAATGGTACACTCCATTAGGATCTCTCACGGTCGTGCCACTTTCTGCAGTCGTTACGTGAAGACCAACAAGTACCTCTTCGAACACCAAATTAGATCAAATGTCGTTCCGAATGTCATCGGTGGCATGCATGGTCTAGGCCCGTTCATGGCTCGTGCAACGTTGTTCGCTGCACGAGTCATTTCCGGGCGTTACGATATCGTCAAAGGCATTGGCGTAGCCAACACCAGTTTATCGTTGTTCGGTGGCCGTTTATACGCTTTATGTGAGTCCGATATCCCGTATGCGATCAAGCTCGAAGAAGATGGCGACATAAGAACGTTGGGTCACCATGATTTTGATGGCAAGCTTACGATGAACATGACCGCGCACCCGAAGATCGATCCCGAGACGAAAGAGGCCTTCGCGTTTCGTTACTGGGCGACACAACCTTACCTGACTTACTTCAACTTCGATTCAAACGGAAATAAGCAGCCGGACGTCCCCATTTTCTCCATGAAACACTCGTCTCTAACTCATGATTTGGCCATCACCCAGAAGTATGCAGTCATCTGTGAGATTCAAATCGGTGCGAACCCCATGAACCTGATCCGTGGAGGACGGTTGGTCGACGTAGACCCCAGAAAGGTTCCAAGAATTGGCGTACTACCACGATATGCGAAGGATGATTCCGATATGAAGTGGTTTGAAGTCCCTGGGTTCAATATATTTCATTCGGTCAATGCATGGGATGAGAAGGATGAAGACGGTGGCGACGTGGTGGTGCTGGTGGCACCCAATATCTTGTCGGTGGAACACTTTTTTAAGCGAGCAGATCTCATCCATGGATCCATGGAGAAAGTGACGATTCACTTGGAGACAGGGGTTGTATCCAGGCACCGTTTGTCGACTAGAAGTTCGGAGTTTCCGGTGATTAATCCGGCCTATGTAGCGAAAAAGAACAAGTAAGCAAAAACCGTTTTCTTTTGCTTTAGATCGATCCACATCAGCAGTCTTACAAGAACCAAAAACCCTTATATATATATATATGTATATATATATATACAGGTATGTGTACGTAGCAGTTTCTGAAGAAATTCCATTAAAGTCGAAGATAATGAGGGCATCAGGGGTGGCAAAGCTTGACATATCTGCTTCAGAAGACAACAATGGCGGACATGACTGCACAGTGGGTAGTCGGATGTATGGAGATAACTGCTTCGGAGGCGAGCCATTTTTCGTTGCAAGAGAGCCGGACAATCGAGAGTCGGAAGAGGACGACGGGTATGTGGTGTCGTATGTGCATAATGAAAGCTCAGGCGAGTCGAGTTTCTTGGTGATGGATGCCCGGTCACCGGATCTTCAAGTGTTGGCGGCGGTGAAGCTGCCGCAAAGAGTGCCGTACGGTTTACATGGGATATTCATTAGGGAAAAGGATCTCAATGAAATCTGAGACACCGCCTTTGCATGTTAGGATTAGGAGTAACGAAATTACAAAAATTTAACGTTATGTTATATTTTCATATGTCTAACAATGTTCACCGATGAATATTTTCATAATTGTTATATTTTCGTTGGTGAATAATGTTCATAAGTTACTCATATATAACAATTGTTCATTAATTCACATCATTTATAAGTTACATATTATATTTATACTATATTATAAAACATTTGATAAAAACTCTTAAAAACTTTTTTTGATGCATAAAGTACTATTTATTAATACATATTACTTAAAACTCAAGATTGCAAGTAGATTGTGTAAGTACAACTTATTAAAGCTGCATATCTGAATTCGTGTAACTAACTGCAAATAAACATAATTAAAAACAGAATAAACATCTCATTTTAAATATAAAATATTTAAAATATAATTAAGATAATAATTAAATTCTAACAAAATACTTAATTATTATCTTTATAAAATGTTATATTATTAAACCAAAAATTTCGTTATTAAACTTAAATTAAATTACAATAAAAAAAAATAAATTAAAGAAATTACATAAATAATATAACTTTTAAATAATTGATTTGATATTAACATTGATATATTTTTTTTCAAAATTTTATGATATTTTCAAATTTATATTTTATTCAAAAATAAAATCATTATTGCTTTCTTAAAAACACATAAAATCGTATTATAACATCGACAGAGACAAATAATAAATATAATATTAAAATCGAGATGTATGTCGCTGTATTACGCAAATACTCTTCTAGTATTAATAAATGACTGAATAATTAAAGCTTGATGTCGGTTTCAAAACGATGGAGTAATTACCAGAAAAGTAATTAATACTAAAAAAATCTCTCTACTTTTTTTAAAAAAAATTACCCTTTGTTCATGATTGTTTATTAAGCATATTTATATTGGTATATTGATTGATCGAGAAGTTTTGATAGATTTTTCATATATATATATTTGATTATTTATTTTTTCAACTGTCATATAATTAAAAATATGCATGTATTGATGTAAATAAAATTATATATAATTTTATATATTTGTGGATTCAAAATTTTTTTTAGAGAATAATAAAAATAAAGTTAAAAAAAAGTAAAAAAAGTTAATGATTAATGTATTAATTGTATTTTAAAAATAAATCAAAATAATAAATAAAATAAAGCTTCTCATTAAACATCCTTTTGATTAGTCATTCAATATATAGAGATTATAATACAACTTTTTTGCTTTATTTGGAGTTAATGTCATGTACAACTCTGACATGTTATGTGATCATCATTAATGTTGGTAATAAATTCTATAAATAATTTCCTTCTAAAATAAAATGTTCACTTTGAAAAATAAGTGTTTGCTTTCTCGTTATATTCTTAATTATGATTGGAGAACTTTATCTTTTTGTTAAGAATAAATTGTCATTTAGTTGATTAAAAAATGTTATCAATTTCATAGTAGACATTTATTTTAGACGAAGAGTGTATAACATACGATGCATTTTTTTTGAATTGTATCCGTAAGACCAATTCTGAACCCTATGATTAGATCTACAATATGAATATTCATAATCACAAAATTACCACAAGACTTCTCAATAATCACAAATTGTCACCGTGCAACTTTAGACCATTAGATCATTAGTTTATAAAGTTGATCAATGAAACATAAATTGGTCTTACGGGTCTCACGAAAAACCCTTAGTCTCACATGAACCCCACCTTATATATATATATATATATATATATATATATTTTTTCTACGATCATATATAATGTTGCATTTCTAAGAAGTTTATAAGTCAAATATACAAAATTAGAGTTTCACGAGACTTGTGTTGGTCTGTCTAAGAAAAGTCAGGTCCAGTTAAAACATGGTTAACACAGTCTCAAAAAAGCTCAAAATGAGACGATTTTAATGATGGTTTGGTCTGAAAAAAGGTTTTGGGTATACGATACGAACAAAAAGATGCCATTGGCGATTATGATCATTAAGAGCACCGATTTACATTGGTGTTATTAGAGGCATCATTTGTTGTGTGCATATTTAATCAACGATTGCAAAATTGTTCATATTTTTTATATTTTGAGTATTTCCAACAGATTTTTCAAATTTTCAAAAAAAATGTAAAATTAAAATTCAAAATCTTCATAAAAAATATGTTTATCTCCAATAACTTTTCTATTTGTAAATTACATCATTAATTATATAATGAAAATATTCCATATCTATACTATATTATAAAGCATTTGACAAAAACTCTTAAAAATAATTTTTTATGTATGAAGTGATGTTTATTAATGCACATTACTTAAAATTTAATATTACAAGTAAATTGTGCATAAGTACAACTTATTAAAGTTTCATTTTTGAATTCAAATTAACTAACCGCAAATAAACATAATCAAATACATGATAAACATCTCATTTTAAATATAAAAAATCTAAAATATAATTTGGATAATTATTGAGTTCTAACAAAATCATTGTCTTTATAAAAATTATATTGTTAAGCGGAAAATAAATTACTTCTAGACCTAAATTAAGTTATAATAAAAAATTAAATTAAAGAAATTGTACAAAAAACGAGAAATTTGAAATAGTTAATTTGATATTAATATTGATAAAATTTTTCAAAATTTTATGATATCTTCAAATTTATTTTTATCTAAAAGTAAAAACATTCTATTTATCGAAACTACATAAACCCTATTATATATCAACAGAGACAAAAAAATAAAACAAAACACTATATGAAGATGTATTTCGCTGCATTATGCGAGTACTCTTCCAGTGTCTAATAAAATATTTTCTTTCTTTTATAAATATTTAATTTCATGATTATTGTCGATAGAATATAATAAAAATATTATTTTTCTCTCATGAGTTTTTTTAAATTTATAGAATTTCAAACTCTCTCCTACTTTTTCATATTTTGGAGAATTTGTTGGATACAATTTTTTTTGTACCAAAATCTTCATTTTTCCATTTTGGAGAATCTGTTGGACATGTTATTAGGAGTAGAAAGTTAAAATTAGCATTTAGTTTCCTTCATGCCCTCGTCGATATTTCCGGTTTTCTTATTCTTTCTAAACCCATTCCATCATTTCATTTCTTACTAGAAGTGTAATCGCGCAATGCAACATAATACATCTTTATTTTGTTTCTCATGATTATATTATACAGTTTTTTTTTGTGGTTTTGAGATATCAAAAGAATCTTGTATTGGTTATCAGTTTTATATAGTACTAGTGTTTGATATCGTGCGTTGCACGATAACGATAATTTTTTTTAAAAATTTACTGAAATTAGCTAAATGAGTCGATGATCACATTTAAATATTAAAATAATAAGAATCAACATCATCTTTGATATATGAATCTAACTTATCATTATTGGTTGTTCTTTTAATATTATATATATATATATATATATATAATTATTAAGTCTTATATATCAATCTTTTATTATATTAAACTTTGTGATTGGTTCAAAATCATAAAAAAAATATATATGTGAAAACATTGATTATAATCATGAGGTGTATTAAGAGAATTATTTTACCATAATACATATCAATTTATCTTTTACATATATTTTCATAAAATATTTATATTCACCAAGTAATAATTGTGTTGTTATTTACATTGATATAATTGTTGAATATTTTTGCAATTTGCTTATATTAGTTCATGATATACTCATTTGTAATATTGGTCAAGAACCTTTTTGAAACCACTTTTTTCCTACTTGCGATTGAATAAAATGAAAATAATAGCTAATATTATGACCATTCTAGATATATAAGAGTCTGATTGATTTGTTATTTTTTCATTGACTTGTTCAAGCTTTTTAGATTTATTTTAGACAGTTCATAGTTTGATTTATTTATAAAAAAATTCTAAAAATAGAGGTTTTAATAAAATTATGTAAAATAAAAGATATGTATTATATTGAATTTCATATTTTAAATATAGGAATAGAAAAGTCTTTTGCATATATCAAATATTAAAAAAAATCAAAAATCAAAGAAAAAAATTGGTTTCTAATGTTTAAAGGATAACACCCCATTATGTTTGGTTTCTTCTTTAAGAATTAAAAATATTAGAAAATAATTTCTAAGCTCAATGCTAAAAAAAGAAAAAAAATCACAATAGACCGATTAACATCAACAAAAACAAAAACTCATATCATATTTGTTTTCATGAATGACTCCTCAAATCAACAAAAAAAAAACACATCCATAAAAACTGAATAAAGAAGAAGAATTGAGAGATTAAAAGAGATTATTATGCTAAACAATGTTACCTTATTTCATCAAAGATTCATATGCCACTTCATCCACACAAAAAAATCATATGCTTACATAATTTCAACTTTAGTGTGAATTCTCCGACTAAAAGACGAAATACTATACTTATATAAGCAAAAACTCATACTATGATTAGTCTTATTGAATGACGCCTCAAATCAACAAAAATGCAAATCACCCTACAAAATTATAACTGAATAGAGAGAAAGAATTGAGAGATTCATATGTTTGTATAATTCTAATTTTAGTGTGAATATCTCCAATTAAAAGACGAAAATACTATACTTACATTAACAAAAACCCATATCATATTTCTCTTATTGAATGACGCCTCAAATAAACAAAAGTGCAAATCACCTCAAAAACTGAATAGGGAGGAAGAATTGAGAGGGTTTTTTTTCTATCCAATGTTACATTATTTCTTCAAGGATTCATATGTCACTTTATCCCACAAAAACTCCATATGCCTACATAATTCCAACTTTAATGTGAATATCTCCGACTAAAAAAAGAAATATTATACTTACATTAGCAAAAACCCATACTATGATTTGTCTTATTGAATGACACCTGAAATCAACAAAAATGCAAATCGCATCCACAAATTTATAACTGAATAGAGAGGAAGAATTGAGAGATTAATAGAAAGATTATCATAAAGGTGTACTACAAATTA